ACTTATACACATTCTCCCACACACACTCTCTTACAAACTCTCACACGCACACACACTCACAAACCCTCTCTCACACTGACACACACACTCTCACACTCAAAGTCTCTGATACTCACACATATTCTCTGATAATCAAACACACTCTCACTCACACACAATCTCTCACACTCTCTGATATTCACACACATTCTCTCACACTTACACACATACCACACACTCTGATACTCACACATACTCTCTCATACTCTCACACAAACTCTCACACGTACGCACACTCTCACATACCCTCTCTCACACTGACACACACTCTCACACTCAAACTCTCTGATACTCACACATACTCTCTGATAATCAAACACACACTCTCACACACACTCTCGCACTCTCTGATATTAACACACACTCTCTCATACTCTCACACAAACTCTCACACGTACACACACTCTCACGCACTCACAAACTCTCTCTCACACTCACTGATACTCACACACACTCTCAAACTTTCACACACACTCGCAAACTCACACGTACTCTCACACACCCTCTCTCACACTAACACACAGTCGCTCACACTCTCTGATAATCACACATACTCTCACACACTCACACACAATCCCTCACTCTCACACTCACAATCTCTGATGCTCACACATTCTCACCCACTCACACGCAATCTCTCACACTCACACTCACTGATACTAACACCCACACTCTCACACATTCTCTCACACTCTCACATTCTCTCATACTCACACACACTCTCTCACTGAAACTCTCTCTAACACACACTCTCACTCACATACAAATACTCTTTCTCGTACACACTTCGTCTCTCACGGACTCTCTATTTCTCACACTCTCGCCGCTTATTCTCTCCCACTGACCTGACCCTCTGTCAGCCCCAATCGTCCAGCAGCTCAGGTCGCTCTCTGTCCGGTCGATCCTCGGCCATGTTTGATCTTCTCCTCCTTCAATCCTGACGTTGTCTCCGCCCACTCTCTCCCCGTTGGTCCGTTACGAACACTCGCCCCCTCTGCCTGAACTTCCCATTCGTCTGTCTAGTTGTCAAGCAGATGCCGCGCTCTGATAGGTCTGTGCCTACGTCAATCATCTCTAAACCGCTCCACCTTCCGCTCCCTGGTTAACCGTCACTAGGTCACCGCCCACCCACTCCCCATTGGCCCATTCAAACAGCCGCCCCCTCAGCCAGAGCTTCCCAATGGTCTGTTCACACGTGAACCGATAGTCGCGCTCTGATAGGTCCAAATCCACGTTAATCATTTCCGCTCCATCCTGCCCCGCGATATCACCAGATGCCACTATTTCGCCGCACACTCGCTTCCCATTGGCCCATTCAAACACCCGCCCATCATGCCGTAGCTTACCATTGGTCAGTTGCGTTTTCAATCAGACTACGTACTCTGTTAGGTCTGTCAACACGTCAATCATCTCCCGTCCTGTGTGCCTTGCGCACTCTCCCTGACCGTCACTCTCTCCCCGCCCACTCGCTGACTATTGGTTCCTTTCAACATTCCGCAGCTCCGTATTGGTCAACCTGGCTGTCAATCTGCTGCCCTCCCAGTCCTGCCTTTCTCTCCTCTTTTCCCCCAGCCTGTGTTTACCAGCTGTCATTGGGAATCCGACAGGTGTTTCATTGGTATGGCTTTTCCGGGGCTTGTAATCCCTTCAATTGTTTGTAAAAATCATAAAAATTCGTTCGATTCAACTCACGATAGCCACTTCACCTTGCAGTGTGTCCTGTTAAGCGCTTTCAGACGTCTCGATGAGGTGGTCAGGCGCTGTAGCATTGCAAGGATTATTATTCATATTATAAACTGCTCCTTTCTTGGTACGTCCAGCGTGAAAGGCGCTGTACAAATTTACATGTCAGTCGGAAGAAAGGAACTTTATCTTTTGTATCAGCTCGGCAGTGTTGATTTCCTTACGATTTTATCCTGACAGACAGACCTCGATATGTGTTCACCGAAACCTACAAAACACAGACACACAATGACACTACTCGCCCCCACTCCCCCGCACACACATAGAGACACACACATACACACACACAGACACACACACACAGAACGCACACATAGAGATACACACACACACTCAGACCCACACACAGACACACACACGGACATACGCACACACACACAGATTGAAAAACACACAGTCACACATACACACGGACATAAACACGCAGACACACACACACACATACGCCCACAGACATACACACAGACAAACATGCACACACAGAGACACACGCACACACACACAGAGACACACAGACAGACACACACACATACATAGAGACACAAACACACCCTGACGCACACACATAGTCAAACACACACACACAAAAACACATACAGACGCCCACACACACACACATACACACACACACAGGCACACGTCCATACACTCACACACAAGCACACAGTGATAGTTTCTGAGAGAGATTCTGAGTGTGAGAGAGAGAGAAAGAGAGAAAGAGAGAGAGACAGAGGTTCAGAGACAGGCCTTGTGTGGAGAGGGAGGAGGAGAACTCTGTGAGCAGAACATAATTTTGGAGCCAGTAAAATTTCCACGAGTCCAAGGAGGAGAATAATAATACTTGCCTTTCGCACAGAGCCTTTCATGTCGCGAGGATGTCACAAGTTATGTCACACGATATACTGTAAAATGAAGTGACTGTGTATTTTGTGATTGAGCAGGGAAGCCGAGTTTGGCATCGTAACGTACTGCAAACAGCCAAGGAGAGAATGAACAATTTTATTTGGAATTGTTGGCCAGGATAAAACACAAGGCAGGCAAGTCCGGTAATTCATCCAGTGATCTTCATATTTGTCCTTGTCTTTGGAACAGGAAGAGGCAATCATACCCCTCAACAAACCAGCAGCTCTCTCTGGTTTCGATTAAACATTCCGAATCAAATCGAAAATGTGACCATATTTTCCCATCCCTTACATTTCCATTATGAGGGTTACAAAATGCACCTGTTCCAAGGCCTTGCGGGAATGGATGCAATTGTTTCTTTCTGAAACTTACTACTTTCTGTGATCTTGTACAGTGTCAAAATCTGTCAACACATTGCTAACAGAACAGATGCCAGGCTGCTCCTTCCCGATCAAACCATGAGTCTCCAATCAGGGAAAGCGAGCTGCAGTGACGGCCCGATGGACAATTTTAAGAGTGACTGAAATCACTGAGATTCCTGAGACCTTCTGGTTCTCACTTGTGGAGATGCAGCGCAATGGACATTTAGACATTTCCGGAGTGGAGAGCGTTTCTCAGAGAATGTCCTGATCAGTTTTAAAATATTAATTGTCCCGGACTGAATGGGAATCATCTTACCATCAGATTTCACATGAACTGTAATAATTTGCACAAATAATATCTGCCAGTTTGCTCTCTTGCAAGTTGACAGCTGAGTTATAGCTTTAAATACAGAATTATCTACTCCCCATGTTGTCAGTCGAGGTACTGCAGGCTCGAGACTGGCTTCCCTATCTGATTGTAATGTTCTCAAAAGCCGACAAGACAGCAGGGCTGGGGAGCTCTCAAGTTAATTCTCTATTTCTCAAAGCAACACAAAGGCCTGGACAGATAAAGCAAAAAAGTAGAGTACTGTAGCTCAGTGGTTAGAGCAGTCGCTTTGCAAGCGAGACACCCCAGTTTAAATGAGGTTGGGGAGGGGCTGTGCCTGGGACAGTCTATGCCTGGGTGAAGCTGGGTGTGCGGGGGGCCTGCGCCCTGGGTGTGTTATATCTGTGGTGGCTGTGCCTGGAGTTTGTGGCCTGTGCCCCATGGGGGCTGCTGTACAGTGTTGGGGGAGGTAGTCTGTGACCTGGGGGAGGGTTTGTGGCTGCGGGGGGGTCTGTGCCTGGAGTTGTCTGTGTTTGAGTTCGGTTGTACCCTGGGGAGGAAGGGGCTGGGCATTGGGGGATGGGGCTGTGGCCTGTGTTGAGCTGTGCCTTGTTGGGGGGGGTGGGGGTCAGGGATGCGTGTGCTTGTCTTTGCCCTTTTTTGTGCCTTGGGGTGTGCGGAGGCTGTGTCTGGGGTGATCTGTGCCTTTGTAGGGCTGTGCCTTGGAGCGGTTGATATGTGATGGGGTCGGGCGAGGTGTGAGGGGGCGGGTGGAGGGTTGTTTGTGCACTGGGGGAGGTGCTGTGCCTTGTGGGTGCGGGCTGTGCTCTGCGGGGAGGGTGTGGCACACTCCCTTACCCCAAAACCAAAACAATAAAAAATTGGTCATTTTCAATCCACGACTGTTTGTGGGACACTGCTGTGCGCAATTGGCTGCCGTGTTCGCCCACAAATATACAGTCAATTTACTTTACAGTGTGTTCTGTGAAGCGCTTTGGGACGTCTTCCCGACGTGAAAAGCGCTATAGCAAATGCAAGAATTATATTATAAGTTCCACAGTCTCCCCACACTCTGTGAGAAAACGGATCCTCCTAAACTCCCTAATATCAAATAAACGATAACATCCTGTTCTTTCTCTTTGATATAACGTCATCCACATCAGTACTCTTTAATGCATTTCACAGGCTATACTGCAAAGAGCAGCACTCTTTGTTAATGAACCGAAATGTGGATCCACATCTTATTAACGTGCATCTGATCAAACCGTTTTCACAATCTTGAACACATGTATGAGGCCCTCTTTTCATCTGTGGAGAAAGATTCCGATCTTTCTTGATTATTGTTTCCACTCATACACGTAACTCTCTTTTACATCCACCATGTAATCTCTGCAATGCTGGTGAACATCAACCTGTATTGCTACTCGGTGCTTGCTATTCTAATTTATCCTGCTGCCTCTCAATTGTTGTTTTGTGTCTTTGAAAACTATCACAAAATTGCAGCTGCAAATTGTTTTTCACGTCAGGAGGACGTCCCCGAACTAATGAAAGGAAGCAAAGGAGGAAGTAACTACGGAGAGATAAAGTGTAAGTAACTGAAAAGAGGAAGGAGGAGATCAGATGGTGAAGTCGAACTGAGATCGGAAATCTGTGCTATCTCCACTCTATATTTTCTTACAAATGACTCCTCGTATTGCTCCATCCAAATATTTCATAGAGTTTCACAGGAATAAATGTAGAATGCAGTGACACTATGTTTGTGGACGGATACACACACACAGAATTTGATGACAGCAATGTCCCAAGAACAGGCGTAAAATTAATGATTAATATTAATCTGAGGAATGGTACAATGTGACACCAGTTGGAGCTCACTTCTCCTTTGCACAACATTCGTCACGCTGTGTTTCCACGGCAGCCCACGTCTTCCTGTCAGGGCTTTGCTCGCCGCAGAAACAATAAACTACTGCGGTGTGTTTATGACAGAGAGCGAGAAAGACAGCGAAAGAGACAGAGAGAGAAAGAAAGAAAGAAAGTCTGAATTTCTGCTTCCCAGCTGCGAACATCGCTCAGTATCGATCGCTGGTGTTCGTCTGTGTGTGTGTGAGTGTGTTTGTGTGTGTTTCACACCTCAGGCTGTGTGTGTGTAACAGAGAAGTGAATGATTTGGGATCACAGAGCTCAGTGAACGTGAAAAAAGCTGCTCCTCAGCTTCCAGGTTCGTCTCTTGGCCCGAGCTCCTCCTCATCCCCGTCATGGAGACGTTGTTCCTCATCTTTGGTGAGTGTCGGTTCTAACTCAATCTCAAGCCCAGTCAGAGAGACGGAAAGGAGAGGAGTGAGAGGCGATTTGCTTGATCCTTCCTACTCCAAATCCATGCCACGACCCATTCTGCTTTACCCCATCTACGCAGCATCGCTCGTCTGCATCACAGTCTCACACGGCAGGCCGCCAGCACCCTCTACATCCAAGCGTGACTACGGAAACTCCCTGCTTGTCGGCCTCCCAAATCCTCCATCCAAAGGCTGCAGATCCTCCTGATCTCTGCAGTTCGTGTCCTCTCCTACATCAAGCTCCGTGACCCTATCACCCCATCCTCACCAACTCCATTGGATACAGTTCAAGATACTGGTCTTCCGGTCTTCCACCAATATCTCTACCCTAAAGCCGCTGAAACCCTATTCCATGCCTTTGTCAACACTCGGCTGGACTACTCTGACGCCCTCCCCGGCGGTCTCCCATCCACTACTATCCATAAAATCCATATCATTCAAAACTCTGCCGCCGGCAATCTCAACCGAAACAAACTCCGCTCCCCGATCACCCCAGTCCTGGCCAGACAGCATTGGCTCCCTATCCCAGAGAGGATCGAGTTGAAGATCCTCACCCTTGTTTTAAAGTCCCTGCACTCCTCTGCACTCCACGACCTCTCTGACCTCCTCTCTCTTCAAAACAGTAATCGTTGCCGTCGTTGTTCCGGGTCTGACCTCTTCCTCGTCCCCCGAGTCCTCTTCACTCTCGGTGGCAGTTTCTTCAGCCACTATGCGCCGAGGCTCCGGAACTGCCTTCCTCACTCACTTCGGCTCGCTCCCACCCTTACATTTCTCAGGTCTCTGCTGAAGACCTTTTTTTTCGATCGCGCCTTTGGACGCATTCCTTCCCCTCCCCCTGGCGCGACCCGGAATCCGTTACTGTAAAGCGTTCTGAGACGCCATTGGGTGTGTAGGGCTCTATATAAATCCAAGCTTTTGTTGCTTTGTTTGTTATTGCTGTTGCCTTCACCTTCAAAATCCTCCATAACGTCGCTGACCCGTACATCTGCAAACTTCTGAGCTTCTACAAGCCTGTCCGCTCCTTTCGCTCAGCGAGCTACGGCCTGCTCCACCACCATCGACCTTTGGCATTTAGGCCTTCAGCCGCTTTACCGCCACCCTTTGGAATTCCATCCTACAGCAGCACCCACCACAACCAACCCCCGCCTCGTGCTTGCTTACCTCCTTCAAGACCCTTTTCAAAACCTCCACTTTAATCGAGATTTCGATTTCCCTCCTTCCACTGCACTCCAGTCTCCTTGATACTGATCCCAAGTTCTGTCTATGCAGCGAATAGTTAAGTACATCCGACATGCAATGCTACATACATATGTATTGCTTTTTTGTTGATTGAGCAGTGGAATGAAGAAAGAGGGTTGAAAGGGAAGCAAGGGTAGAGAGGCGAGCGATAGAAGAGGAGGGACCAGGGAAGGATAGAGGCGAGAGTGGGAGCACATACAGAGGAGGGAGAGTGTAGAAGTGTGTGAGTAAGGTCAGATAGGAGTGAGATGATTAACGGGGGAATTGAGAGACGAGGGAGTGCGGGAGCGAAAGAGCGATGTGAAAGACAGCGGGAAGAGCGAAGGAGGAGAGGATGAGTGGCAGAGTGCTTGTACTGGGTAAAGTGTGGGTGAGTGAGAGGGGAGATGGAGTCTTAGGGCGATTGGGTGGAGCGAAGGGAGCGAGAGGTGGAAAGCATATGAGAGGGAAAGGTTGTGGTCAGAGTGAGGTGGAGTGGGGGAGGAAGAAAAATATGGAGTGGTGGAATGAGGGCTAGCAGGAACGGGAGCAGGAGGGAGAGAGGGAGGGCAACATGAGAGGGAGAGAGAGCGAGAGAGGTGCAGGGAGTCGGAAAGGGAGGGAAAGTGGCAGAGTTTGGGGAGGGGAGACGGAGTGGGAGGGTTAGAGTAAAGGGAGGCGGAGAGGCAGTGACGATTCAGTGAGATAGGGAATAAGGGACGGAGGGAGAGAAGGAGGGAGGGAATGAGAAATTCCTGATGTTGCCACCGGTACAGAGAAGTTTGAATGGGTATCGAGGTCTTTGCAACAATAAATTTCTCTTCGTCGCCTCCTCGCATGAAGCTGTATGCCTACATAAATGCAAGTTGTCCAAATGCACATTGTTGTTGATGGGGAACGTCATAGGAGAAACCAGGAAAAAAAGCAAAGGGTGAGCAAACTCCTTACCGAAAGGGAAACACAGTGTGCTCTAACTATTAACGGGATTTGAGATGAATTCCTCTGTTTCCGTACTGTCACCAAAAGCCATCTTCTCCACGGCTCGAAACTGAAACACAACCGATTTTTGCACAGCAAATGACGTTCAGCCAAATGCTGTGTTTCTTAGTCTATGACAGAATTCTTGGTTCAGTCCGATTGACTCCGCATCCCATCGTATTTGTGCTGGTGCTCGCTCACCCACTCGAGCTCTCTATTCTAACCCCATTCCATGCATTCTTTACCTCCCTGTCGTATCTGTACTGGTCGTCCTCCCCCATTGGAAGCTTTTTCGGCGATGGCATTAAATTGCTGCCCTGTAGATGAGGACCGACCGTTTACGATGTGAGAAACTGGGAAGATCAGATCCATGATTGTGAGAATTATTGCATTGATAACTCCTGACTTGATCTATTTTTTCCTTCTGCAGTGATATTTCTGGAGAGAAAGATGTTGGAATCTGCAGGTTAGTAACACAATGTCACAGCCAGAAGCTGCTGAGGTAACATTAGTGGCTGAGATTGAGACTGGGCTTCTCTTCACTTCCATCTGGGGATGAGGAGTAGAAACCATCACACAATCCGGGGGAAACGCAGTGGGTCACTTGGTGGGCTTGTGTGTAGAGGCCACAAGGATGCCCGAATATTTCTAATTAATGCAGCTCTGCCTTGAGTGGTTCATTGCTTTGGTAGTGGGCTGTGACCTGGGAGAGAGGCCGTGCACTGGGGAGAGAGAATGTTCCCGGGGTTAATGGGCTTGCCCTCGCGGAAGCGGCTGTGCCTCAAGGGCTTGTGCAAGGGAAAGTGGCTGTAACCGGAACAGGTGTGTGGGGGCCGTCCTGTAGTGCCCTGGAGTGTTTGTGCCCCTGGGAGATGCTGTATCTGTCGAATGGCTGTGCCTTGCTGGAGCTGGGCCTGGTTGGAGGTACACTGTGGGCGGTGGGGTTTGATCACTTGGTGTCTGGGGGAGGCTGTGCTTGGTGCTGTGCATTCGACTGATGTGTCCTGGGGTTAGAGGATGTGCCGCCGGGTTGCTGGGCGTGTTGCCTGAGCACTGGCTGAAGGAGCTGTGCCTTGGAATGATTTAAATTGAGGAGGGTCTTTGCCCATAGGAGGCGCTGTTCAATTTATTTGCGCTGTGCCCTTGCGTGGTTCTTTGGCCTGGGGCGGTGTCTGTGCCTGGGGTTGTGTGTTCCTGGGTAAGGATGTCCCTGGGTGCTGTGCCCTGTGGACGATGTGGCTGGGCAATAGGTAAATAGCCGTGACTGTGGTGCTGTTCTTAGGCAGAGACCCTCCTGGACACTGCCCGTCCCCAAGCGATTGCATGCGGGAGGGGCTGTGCTCTGTGGAGCGCTGTGCCTGGAGTGTGGGGTGAGGTAGTTTGTACCTTTCTGGTGCTCTACTTTAGTGGCTACGGCTTGTGCCTCGCTGTGATGTGCTCTGCACTGAGGGATAGTTTGTGCCTGGGGCAGGATTTGTGCCCTGAGTCGGCGGGGAGACTGTGCCCTGGTGTTCGGACTTCTCTCGATTTCAGTTTGGTGGTGGGTGCGATGATGCTGTGGTCCTCGTGTATGTTATGCCGATATTTTATACCCCAACCAATCCCCACACCCCGGAGTGATTATGCCTGAGCTAGCTGAGCTGTGAGGCTGCAGCTCATACCATGTTGCACTGTTCAGTTTCTATCTCTCTGTGTTTGCATATGAATTATGTAAGTTGTTTTGTCACACACCCGATCTATAAATGCACTAATAAAACGACAATATCTGCCTCTGTGCGTGCATCTGTGTATCTGCCAATAGCGCATTAACTGATTTAATAAGAGAACTGATTTACAACTCAAAGAAAATGTCTTGCATGTGCGAATGGCACAGGGACACTTTTGGGGATTTCCTACCATCGATCGATCAAATAGACAATTAATTCAGTCCCAAATTATGAGGTTTGCACGATATTCCGCAACAAAATCATTCTGTTCTCGTGAGATACATATGTTGTAATTTATACGATACACATGTAGTAATATACTCTGTAACAAATTTTGGGTGGAATCTGGGCATATTTTGGGGGGAATCTGCAATCTTTGTATTATGTATAATAATATTATGTAATGTATATTTTTTCTGTATTATTTAACGTTAAGTATAACAAAATAGCATAACATATAACAATCTACTGTGATCTTAAATACATTACAATAATATTATCCTTGTATTTAATATAGCGCCAAAACATCTCGTTGCGCATCACAGAACCAACTGCGTTATGAAACGTCTATATATTTTGTGGGCGAATCGCGGCAGCGAATCGCGCACAACGGTGTCCATCAAAAGCTATGGATCGAGTGAACAAATTATTCTATTTTTGAATGAATTATTATCCCCTGCAAAATGATCCCCCATTGACTAGTGGGTTCCTTCTGGCTGCTCTCTAAACAGAGGCATTTGGAGTGCGGAAAATTGCCTCAAAATTCGCCCTGCTCGGTAATCTAAATATACAGTATAAAAATGTTTTATAATGTATAATAATCCTAAACAAGTATAAACGTTTAGTTTAATTATAATAATCTAACGTAAAGTATAACAATATACATTATAATACCACTACTCTTTGCTCGCAAAAGTAGCTGTAACGAGCACAGTTAGTTGTGTAAAAAGCTGCTGCTGTTAACGTGATATCCGGGTTGCGGACTGAATATCGCCGGCACTCACTACAACCATTATAATCATTGTTATTGCTGTTGTATTGTTTACCACTGCGACACTCTCCCAATGTGATTGGCGCTCCGCACATGTAAAATGTATTGCATCATCCTGGCTGACTGCAAGTCCAATAGGGATCAGAATCTCAATATTGTGTGTGATGTTTTACAGAGGGTGCGAGGGTGAGGCTGGTGAACAGCGGCAGCCCGTGTGCCGGAAGAGTGGAGGTTTACTATGGAGAACAATGGGGCACAGTGAGTGGTTATGGCTTTCGTGGCTCTGGTTGGGATATGTTGGACGCGGCTGTGGTGTGTAAGGAGTTGGGCTGTGGAGCCGCGCTGTCAGCATCAGGAGACGCTCACTTTGGCGAAGGCTCAGGTCCGTTGTGACGCGGTATGTTCGGTGCAGTGGAGCGAGTCTGCTCTGAGGCGTTGTCCTCATGGGCCTGGCATTATATTACTGGATTTCACACTCCCATGATGCCGGCGTCATCTGCTCAGGTAAATAATTCATTTTCTGATCGTTTTTTATTTCTCATGTTTTCGGTAAACCACAGCTTGAGAAAATAGGTAAAATTTCCTGCCGACAGTATTATAGCTTATAATTAAATCTGGGAGGTGGCGTCCATGCACCTCGAGTCATTATTCGGCGTCAGAGTTATCGGTGTCATCTGTTCATGTAAATAGCCCTACCTCTGATTATCACCTTGTACTCGCAGGGGAGATTACGGGAGATGGAGCATAGGATTGCGAGCACAAGACCAATTAGCTCAGAGAGAGAGCACAGACGTGTGTTGAACACAAGCGGTGGTGTGGTCAGAGGAGGGCTGAGCACAGGGTTGCTGGAGCAGTGTGGGTTGTCAGAAGAGGGGAGGATATGCACAGCGGGGTGAGCCAAGTTGGTGTGACCACAGAGGGTTAACAATCTAGGAATGAGCGCAGAAGTTGAGCACAGGGGTGTGAGCTCAGGAATGTCAGCACACGATCGTGAGAATACGGTGGAAGAACTGGCGGCTCATATCATGGTGGATGCTGAGAAAAGGTGGTAAGCATATGGGCTGGGAGCACAGTGGCATGGTGAGAAGAGGTGGGTATTGTGAGCAGAAGTGGCGTGCAACAAGTGGGAGAATATGGGGCAAGTGCACGATACGAGGCTTTGTACAGGGTGGGGTGATGAGCACATGGGGTGAGCACAGTGAAGCTGAGCATAGGGGTAGCATAATGGTGGAGCACAGGGTGTTCAGCAAAAGGGGTTGTGCACATGGGACTTATGCACATGAAAGTGTTGAGCATAGGCAGCGGTGAGCACAGGGACAGTAAGAATTGTGAGGGTCAACAAAGGGGTGTGTGAACCCGGGGAGGGGGGGCTGGGGCAAAGCAACCAATGGATGAGTATACGGGGATGATCAAAACGGTGGTAAAAGTATGGGGATGAGCACAGCAGGTTTGAGCAAACAGGCGCGAGCAGAAGTTGGAGAGAATATTTTGGGTGAAAACAGTGGCGTTCAGAAAAGGGAGGTGAGGACAGAGATGAGGGCTCAACGTGGGAAAGCGTATAAAACAACTCATTTGTTAATACTTGAGGACATGGCGAGGGTTGAGGACAGAGTGGGAGCAGTAGGGAAGGTGAAAACCACGTTAGCGTAAGTACATGGGAAGCATGAGAGCAGAGGGTGAGAGCAGGATGCTGCGCACAGGTCGGTGAGCCAGTTGATTGGCAGGGAACAGGAGCACAAATTGCTGAGCAGAGAGAGACGACTTTAGTGGGAGCACAATGGGGGCTGCACAGGGCCAGGGGTAAGCAAAGGAATGTGAGCAATGTGTGTGCGCAAAGGTGTGCTTTAAATAGTGGTGGGTGAACACAGGCGGCTGAGCATTGGGAGAGTGACCACAGTGGGTGTTGGGCGCAAGATTGGGGTTGAAGTCCAGCGAAGTTTAAGCACAGGGCGTAGGAGCACAGAGGGGTAACAGCATTGGAATGAGTACAGGTAGCTGTGCTCAGGGAGGTGAGCTCAGATGAGTGAGCAAACAGTGATCAGACTAAGTTTTGGGTGAAGACAAGCTCGGTGAGCAAAGGAAGGTGAGTAGACGGAAGGTGAGAACATGTTAGGAGGATTTGCGGGGTGGGGGGTTGAAGCAAGGTGTGTGCCGAGTGCAGTGTTGAGAACAGACGGAGCGTGAGCACAGACGTATGGCTGAGCATAAGCTGGGAGCCAAAGGAGGGAAAACAAGTGGTTTGATCACACGGGTTAAGTAACAGCTAGGTGAACATGGTGGGTGTGTGGGGGGGGAAGGGTGTGGAAGGGGACTGAGTACAGGGTTAGTGAGCGGATGGATTGCGTGCGGAAGAGGTGAATATAGGATGGTGACCACAATGGAGAGTGGAAGCAAAGGGTGGGAGCACACTGTGGTGAACACAGTGGTATCAGGGTTGTGGCGTGTTTCTGCACAGGGCGACGAGCATAGGGATTGTGATCACATAGGGGATGAATAGTCCTGTAGCTCACTGGATAGAGCGCTCGCCTTGCAAGCGAGGTGCCAGGCAAGTCGAAACCTTCGTCAAGTTTCCTTACTCCACACGCCAAATGATGATCTCTCCAAAAAACAAAATCCAATAATGGATTGACCATTTTCAAACCATGGCTGATTGTGGGACACAGCTGTGCGCAATTGGCTGCCGCGTTTCGTCCACAAGTATACGGTCGATTCACTTTACAGTCTATTCCACTAAGCGCTTTGAGACGTCGACGAGACGTGAAAAGCGCGGTATCAAATGCAACGATCATTATTATTATTGGGACAAAACCAGGGGGTTGTGCACACGGCTGGTCGGGTAGTAAGGACAGGGTGCGAGCACAAGGCGGTGAGAACAGGGCGGCTGAACAAGTGAGGTTGAGAAAAGGGTGGTGACACCTCGATTTGGTAATCACAAAGTGGGGTACGGGGGAGAAGAGAGGGAGGAGAAAACGGGGAGGGGTGCACAGGGTGGAATGCGAACAGCAGAG